ACAAAATAATGCAAAACAAAAAAATCACTCACATCATAGAAGACTACTGAAGGGAGAAACAAAGACACTGTAACCCTGATGTGTTGGGATTAAACCGCCAGAGAAAGAAGCTCCCTTTTTGTCTGCGTTAATTAAGCCACATACTACTATCACCAGCACAGCTTTAGATTCAAGCTTTCAACTGCCAGTGATTTATTCTGATCTAGGGAAATCAGCAAAATCTGCTTTTTGCAGCCAGAGTCATAGAATAATGTCACAACACATTCATGAAAGTTCATCAAGGACAGCAGTAGTCTTCCAGCTGTACAGTTCTGTATTAGTGAGTGATGTTTAATGGTATAATGGTTTTGATTATGATATGTTACGTTCTACTCCTGCTGCCACCATAGCCCAGAGGGAATTTGCCTGTGAACATGATATTTCATTTCAGCTTGTTAATAAATTCACCGAAAACCAAATATTAAAATAAACCAACTGCACAATGATCGCTGGGGATAATTATAAATTGTGCTTTTTGGTGGTTCCTGAATACTGGTGAATGTTGAGAGATATGTGTAATTGCTGTTGTTGGTCCTTCATGCCCTGTTTTAGGAAAGCCTATTACGCTCCCGTGTCTGAATGCTATGGAACATCAGCTGTAAATCAACCTCGTGAAGACGTCATTTTCCTGGTGGTAAGGGGAGCTGAGTGGAAGTCTGTATGGTGAGAATGGGTAACACATGCTCCAAAACCTGCTCCAAACAACTGGAAGTGAAGGACAATACCCTAATGTTTGACTTTGTCTAAGTAACATTGGTTCGTAGGTTTTTCAAGTTCTGTGACTGTTGCAGAGCTCACCTGCAGTTTTTCCATCTTCTTCCTTGATTGTTGCAGTGTGCACTACTTAGGGCTGACTTTAAAGCACATGTAGAAAACTTAGATGATGAAGAAGTCGCCTATTCACATTTTGTACCGTACAGACTGGAATAAACATGTAGCAGCATGTTTGATTAACTTTCTGCACCTACTTGCTATCTGGTTTTATTATCCCAAATAGTGACATTTAACCTCAAAATATTAGCGTGCTGCTATTTCCAAGACTATATCCAACACCATGATCCAGTAGAGCAGTCACAGTCAGCTCACACATTCTGAGATGTGAAGATGATGTAACCACCAGCAGTGTTTTCTCTGGGGTCTGTCTGCCTGTCCAAGACTCTTGACATTTATTCGGAATTGTTCATGCCGAAATCCCAAGACCTTCTCAAGACTTCTTTAGTATCTGATTTTTTTTTTCTTTTTTTTTACAGAATAGATATCTACATTTTGTGTATTTATAACCAAAAGAAGACTATTGCTATTGCAACAGGTCTATTGCTACAGGAGTTCTGCAAAGTAATAAGCAAGCAGCCTGCAATCATCTCTTCATATACCCATCTCATCCTCAAAGGTACCTACATTAGCTACAAAGTTGCTCTTTTCATTATGTCCAATTTTAGAAATTATCAGCAGAAATAGAGAAGCATAAAATGAATTTATATTCATGCTATGCTAATAAAGGTTCTCAGCTTTTAGAATTTCTGCATGTAGAATTTTGTGGGTCTCCTGCTTTTGGGATTTTTGTTGCATATTGCATCACATGTTTGGGCACTTGGCAGATTCATAGGTGTGTCAAAAATAATTTCCAAATGTTATCGTTATTTATTTGTAGTGTTACCATAGGCAAAGAAGAATGCTCAAATTTGCAGGAATTTTTCTTTGAAAGATAACAATAGAGCTTTTTCAAATGTATCTACTTATAATTTTCTGTGTTCTTGAGAAGAATTTCTTGCTTTTCTGAAGAATGAGGCTGGACTGGATTCAATTCTATCCTGTTTAACAAATAATTGCAATGACTGATACTGATTTTTCCCACTTTGCTGATTTTATTTCAACTGCCTGTTGGTTTAAATGCTCTGAGAGATTTTTATAAAAGAAACATTTTTCACATGCAGAGTGTATTTCCTAAAGTTTTATAGAATTATCAGAAAGACATATATTTGCCATTTTGAAGACTGTTAGCTAAATATCTTTAAAGTAGACTTCTTTTTCTGAAAATTAAATTATTCCATGGAGCAACTGATTTGATCAAAAGTGTTAGTAATCAAATTGTGAACATATGTAGTGGTATTCTGGTAAATGGTGGTAAACTGTCACCTCCTCTATAATCTTTCGCCAGATAGTTTAACTAATTTCAGGAGAAATGCTGGAAGAGAGGAAGGCTCTCAGAATATGAAGGCACTTTTGCCCTTTACACACTGCCTGCTTCACCAGTAAAACCCAGCCTGATGCTGAAGGCTTCAGCAAAACACCCTTTTGTACTGAGAGAGTTCACAAAGGGAGGCCAGGAGGTGAACCTGTGGCTGTGTCTGCATGAAAGAGAGCAGAAACAAACAGTGTATTGTTTGTGATAAGCGTCACTGCCTCTTAAATGATATCCCATGACTGTCTATGCTAATGGACACCTTCGGGTAAAAAAAGATGGTGTTAATAAAACCTCTGCTCTGCTTTCCTTGGAACAGGCACTTCTGGCACTCAAAGCAGCTCTCTGCTTCCATCCTCATACACCTTGAGCCTTTAGCCAAGAGCAGCTCCCTGCAATTTATTAAATTAGCTCTTTAAAAGAACTCCATAAATACACTCTTTCCAAGCAATTTTTTCCTAGTAAGTCTGGGCCGGTGTGCCAGGGCAGGGCAGGAGAGCACAGCTAAAAGAAGACAAGAATGGCTTGAGTGACAGGAGGTGCTATGCACTGGGAGTGGAACAGAACTGCCTTTGAGCTTTTTCTTTTTATATTCTCCCCTAAAGGAAACAGCTCAGATGCAGCAGAAATGTTTTTTTTTTTCCCATGTCCCTTTTTTTTTTTTTTTCTCCTGAATTTACTATTAGTTGGTGCATAATGGCAATTTGTGTAGGGGAAAAAAAAAAAAAAGAAAAGCTGACATGAGCCGGAGGTCTGATAGGTCTGATATTAACCATTTCTGGGCAGTGCTCTGTTCAGTGGCTCTACGTTTAGAAGCTCTGTTTTGGACAGTCGTTGCTTGAAATCACATCAGGTGAATGAATGGCTACTTCTCCCATTAATAAGAGAAAGCCATCTGGGAGAGCAGCAGTCTACCAGAAACAACCAGAAGTAAACTGTACAACACAATGAAACGACATACACAATTCAGCCCAATCCAGAGCAACAGGCATTATTCCTTAAATTGTACAGAAACTAATTCTTAGGACAACATTTTAAGTTCCTCCTCTCTTTCTTCAAAAGAGGTTGATATAGCATAAGTCTTGATATATGACCAGCAAATCACTTCTCCTAGGTTATCAACAGCAACCAGAGGGCAAGCACTGTCCATGAGTGACTTGGCACAAGCTGGCAAACTGAAGGGTGTATGTATTGTTTCTCTACGAAGAGAAGCAGTAGTTGCACAAAAGCAGATCACAGTTGCTAATTCAGAGGAACAAAGTTACAATTAACAACTAATATTTTTAGCCAGCCAGCCGCTCCCGACAGTGATGCTACAGGACACTTAGGGTTTTTTCATTTGTGTCATATGCAGTTATCAAAGCAACCAGTGTTATGACTTTGCTATCACTGTCAATTTAATTTGATACTTTTGTCACCTCAGACTATTGTATTCTGTTACTACGAAAATGAAGTGAAAATCTCATCCTCTTAAACACAAAATTAAAAAAAAAAAACCAAAACCAACAACCCCCCCCTACTGAATGCAACATAATAGTGTATTTCAACGCATTTCCTCCTGAATAGGAAAAGCCAGCTAGCTGCTGGGCAGGTACTAACCCTTCCTGGGTTTTGTGTCTGGCAGCCTGCTTAAAATGTGATACTCATCCTTCAACTCACACTTCAGCTAAACACGCATTAAAAACATGAGAAATGTGCTGCAGAAAAGATTGAACGAACAGCTTCATAGCTAATAACCCAATAAATACTCTTCAAAGTCTTCTCCACCACAGCTTGGCCTCTCCAATATGTTTGGACAGCATAAGCTAAACATTTCCATAACACAGACAGATGTAACCTCAAAACTAAGAACTCTCTCCAGGGTGGTTAGTCTCTATCTGCAATGAGCATTTCTTAACATACTTACTACTCTGCGTAGCACAAGCGTACCCAGGCTGTCATTTTAGTTTAGATATGAAGACTAAAAAAACTTGGTTTCTCTGCATTAGTCCTCTCCCTGCTACTACTGCTGACAAGAGTTCCCCTGGTTAGGATATTTTTTTCTTTAACTTGGTGTGGAAAGGTCTGATAAAACGCATAAACCAAAACTCACCATTCTAAGTACCTGCATACTATTTTGGATGGAGAAGAAAGGATACACTCCATTACAGACTTTATATGCATTTCCCCTTTAAAGTTCATAGCACATGACTGTGCCAATAGAAACTGCAGCTGTAAAGGAAGAAAGACTGAATCTCAGAAGAAACGGTTAAAAAACTCACCAATCAAGTGGGAAACCTCTCAAGAACAAAGCCCAGGTGGAGGAAGACAGACAAGCAGAGATTATAAGCAGGTTCACTCTCTTAGAAGAGATGCCTCTACACGGCCCTCTGGGAAAAGGGGGCTGACTGACACTGCACGCACTTTGCAAGCAGGTGAGGACTGGAACCAGAATTTCCTCCCATGGAGCTGCTATAAAAGCATTTAATTTTCAGGATCTTGCTGGAACCCACAGATGTTATTTTACAAGAAAACTGGAGAATGTAGTTAATGTACTTATTTATTAAGGCTGTGGCCTGCATCACGACCCACCCTTCTGTGACTGAATCACTGGCATGTTTGTGACAAGTTCCTTACATAAACAGGTTAATACTTAAAATCTGCCCAGGCACTCTGATCAGTGTCCTTCGCAACGCCAAATCAAGCAAGTCCTGGTTTGTGACTGAGGTGAAGGACGGACTGGGGAGCGCCGCAGAAAGTTAGGAACAATGGTATATGAAAGAAGCGCTGACATACTTACAGTTGCATTTCTTCTGAACAAATCTAAGCTTGCACGCTGTTCGGTAGGTGGACAAACGAATGCGATCCAGATCTTGAGCACCTAGTGGAAGAGAATAACAGCCACATTTGTATGGAATATCACCTGTGTGTATCTTTGCTAGCAGGGAAGCCAGAGAACAAAGAGGACACATGAGCTGACTCTGTTAAATAATTTTCAAGGCCCAGGGAGCACAGAGAGGCGTGAGGAGAAAGAAGGGGAATAGCAGGAGCTACAGTATTAAAAGACTTTTTTAAAGGAAGGCAAGGAACAGTCAGCCCACTGTGTCTGTCACTTTGAAGAACAATCTAGTCAAGCTGCAGGCTAAAAGACACACTGGCCGGGCTCCAACAGCAGGGAAAACCTCCATCTAATTTTAATATGTAACAAAAAAAACTCGTAACAAATACTTTTGGCTGACATGCCAGATCAGAACAAGGTATCGCCAGCAAACCAAATTAGAAAAAATGTCATGCCGTAACAAAAATACTGGTAGCAATCTGTAGAAGGGGACAAAAATAATGCAAAGGGTGTGAGGCCCTTCTCCATTTTGCGGAGGTTATGTTCTCTGCAATGGAGACCTCAAAAGGTTGGCTCTCTGCTTCACACACAGCTTGGCCCTGGTTCCTGCAACTTAAAGATCCGGCAACATTTCCAAAGCAGCTGTCCAGGAGATGGGTATGAGCTGACTGGTAGCTACCTCGCATACAAGTGCAGTACAGAGGGACCAGAACCTGGCACAGTGTCTTTAGGCCTCTTGCTGCTGTGTACCACTCAGAACACCTCCCCAAAACCTCAAAAAGTAGATGAGGACATTGTGATTTAAATCCGTCTCCTTCTTGGCTGGTATGTCTTACATAAAGAAGTGTTGCCTCATAGCTACAATATGGCCTATGAAATAGAAGGCTGCTTATTAATTTTGCCACACATTTCACGGAAACAAATTCAATTAAAAGTTTGTGTTATTTGCTTTTTCACTGTGGTTGGCCCTGTAATAGGCATAAAACCTTTTCTATTCAGTTGAGTAAGGTACCAGGTTACAAAAACCAGATTTTCTTAAGGAACTGTCTGCATGAAACACATCCAAACAAGGTACAACCAGGCTGTAAGAGAAGTGGAGTGGAATATGGCCCTACTCGGCTTTACACATGCTTCCTGAATGCTTTCTTTAAGATTCATCTTGACATTACTAGATTGGCCACTCTGCTGCACTGTTGTACATATGGCTATGTCAGCATTGTTCACCCACACTTTCTTAAACAATCTGCCATCCTTTGAACCCAAATTTTTCGAATGTGCTCTGACCTGCAGGAGGAAAATGAGAATGACACTTTCCTCTCTCCCCAGACTTTGCTCTTTTCCTGACCAGATTCTCCCACACCATCTTCCCAGGGCTCCCAGCTACTCCCTTTTGCCAGTTGGCTGTCTTAACATCACCTGCTCCTGGGAGAAGCAACCCTTAACTACTTAAGTTCAGGTCTGGAAAGCTTTTTATTTCTTTCATCGTATGCTTTATTGTTAAATTACAGAGGTTTCTCTCTTCTCCATTAGTATCTCATCAACAGCTTTAGGAAAACTTCTTTACTGGTAAAGTGGAGGATAACACTCGTAACACTAAGTCTTTCCTTTTCTAATAGGACCAATGAGTAAAGTGAATTTAATTTTTTCCCTCTTAACTTTAGTGAAAACTACTAATAAAAGCTTCCAGTGCTCCTTTATAAAACTTCAGCCTTTTAAAAAGATGTAAAGATTCAAAGCAAAGTCAGACTCTGGCTCACTGAGCTTCCTAGGTTGCAGTATTAATCCTAAATAAATAAATTTGTAGGCAATAATGTTGCTTTCTTTCTTTACTATTTACACACACAGTGGATGGTATTATTTTGATATTATTTTGGGAGTAGGTGTTTTTGCTGATAAATCCCTGGAACAGACAATTTAATTTTATCATGAGTCACATTTTGCTGCAGTCAGAGATCTATTTGTCAAATGACTTCTGTACAAAAGTGACTTCACTTACACAGAGAGTCCTGAAAAACAAGTAGAAAGATGTGAGGGACCGAGTGTGACAAACGAGACTGTGAATCTGTAACTTGCCTACAGGATTGCCAGCGGCCCGTCCTTCCTTTTGGCTGCTGGCAGTGTTGCACTCAGTTTCCTTTGAACATGCTCATCTCATGTAACGCTGCAGTTTGCAAAAATAATAAAGGGATGCACCGCAAGCTTTGGCTGCTGTTTTCCTGCAGGATAGTGTGTGCTGGCAGCGCAACAGTGATGTACATTTTGAACTCTCTTCGTCAGTCTGGATATACCTGAGCATGTCAGGTAACAATAAGGGTAACCTTGTGATTTGATGTCCAGTGGTGAATTTTGAGATATAAGACACAATTTAAGCTTTAACCACAGGATTCTACAGAAGATGATATTGATTATGATACTAATTGACAGAAGTCTGTAATTTGGAACTAGAAAGATGCCTCCCCTGAAGGAAAGGAAACAAAAAAGTCAAACTAAGCTTCTTGAAATACAGGGAAAATCATATAGTGGCCCATATCTAAAGTAAGAGATAAATCCATCTATTCCTTGTTCAGAACAAATTTCCTACTTCAAAAGGCAGGAAAAGTTGGATTTTTTTTCTGCTGTCTTGTGTAGTCTGGAACATGACTCACTTTCTAAAAGTGAGTTTTAATCATGGACTTGCAGATATGACTGCAAGAACCTAAACCACTGTCAAAGTCTTCTATATTACGAATTTTCTTCCTCTAATATCAGCAGTTTGTGGAGTTTAACTTTCTATCAGAAACTTATGTCTGTTGTAATGTTAAGAAGCTTCACATGGCCCACAGTATGTAGAGTGTGTAGAGCACATGGTTTTGTTAAACATGGATTGTGTGGGCTTGCACACAACTGAGGGCACCTGAATACAATGCCAGGTTGAGCTTCTGTTTCAGTGACGCACTCAGGAATCCAAGGGACTCTCAAAATGCAAAATTCAGTGTTTTATGAATATGGATATTTCTTTGCCTAAAACATACTTATTTTTTCACAAGGACTTAATATTTCCCCCTCTTTTTACCTAGTTGGAACCCAGTTCTCTGTGTGCATGTGTAGTAGGAGGAGGAAGAGAGATAGGCAAGTAGAAAAAGGAGGCACACATGAGATAAACCAGACTCAACTAAATATATCAAAATACTAAAATGTGAAAGAAAAAATAGTAGACAATAACTATTTGTGTATGGTATGGGAAAACAGTCCCACCTCCACCTCCAACTGCTGATTGTAAATTTTCCTAACACCTCCTTAACTCCTACAAAATAACCCAACTGCAAACTAGCCTTAAAAACTGTGGGAACAAACCATAAATCCTCAAAGAAAAGTCTTAAGCAATTATCTTCCATTTCAGGAAAACTGCAAAATAACTGAAGTTAATGGAAGTTGTGCTATTGACTCTAGCTGATATAAGCTTAAGTCCTCCCTATAATTCTAATTAAAATACAGTATGTTCTGATAATGGACAAATGCATCATACTTTTTTGTTTGTTTGTTTGTTTGTTTTTTTGTGTTTTGTTTTTTTCCTTCTGTCCAAAGAACAACCCCTCTCTCCACTGGTCCAATATGTTGTACACAAGGGACAAGAGAAATATCCATCTGAGTTATAACAGCAAGACTTGTGTGACACTGAAATCATTACAGGGCACAACAGAGCTAGTGGACACAGTGGAACGGGCCAAGACCATTCTCAGCAGGCCACCTGAATGAGAAGCCCTTAATTTGGAGAGCTCATGAGTGCAGACGTAGGGCATTCGGTCACCCCTGGAGAACAGTCCCAAGCACATTTAATTCACCGGCACAGACCTGGCCTTTCAGTGTGCACAGCTGCTCAAGCCCCAGTAATGCTCATCTTGGTCTCCCCCAGAAGGTGGGGCAGATGTTCTGTCATTTTTTACTATGTTGCAGGGCACAAACAACAGTAATTAACAGACAGAACTCAGGTAAATCTACTAGCAGGGTGACAGTCTCAAACTTCATACGTAATAGAATTTCCTGGAGAAATGGTGGATTGTTTGTAAGAGAAATAGGAGACGACTGTCAAGAGAACTGCAGGAACATTGTTAGTATAGTACATCCTCGACACACTGTTCTGCAGGGAACACAAAGCTTCGCTAGAAACTATAAAGAATGTGCTGAGGTGGGTTATGTAGTACATGAGTCTCCATACTGTGTCCAGCTGGGATGGAGTTAACTTTCTTTACAGCAGCCTGCATGGTGCTGTGTTGTAGATTTGTGGCTAAAAAAGTGTTGGTATCACACCGATGTTTAGCTATTGCTGAGCAGCAGTGCTTGCACAGCATCCAGGCCTTTTTGTTTCCTACTCTGTCCCCTCTCAGAGTTGGCCAGGGATGGGCAAGAGGTTGGGGGGAGGGATACAGCCAGGACACCTGGCTGAAAGAATAGTCCACACCATATAATGTCATGCTCAACACTAAAACTGGGGTAGGGAGAGAAGGGGTGGGGGGGTTTTGTCTTCCAAGGTGGATATTGCTGGGAGACTGGCTGGGCATCAGTCTGCTATGGTGAGGTGGTGAGTGACCACCTTTGCATCACTCATTGTTGGTTTTTGCTGTCATGTTTTTTCTCTCTTTCTGTCACTTATCAACCATCTTTATCTCAAGCCTTGAGTTTTCTTGCTTTTGCTCTCCCTATATTCTCTCCCATGCTGCTGGGGACTGGTTGGGGATTAAGCAATTGGCTGTGTGGGTGCTTAGCAGCTGGCTGGGGTCAGCCCACTACAGATACACCCACTAAAAGATGTAGTATTTTGGAGACCTTTATCCCTCTTCATTGCTACCTACGTATTGCAGCATTTTTGTCTCAAGAATCTACTGATTAAAATAATACAATCACAAAGTCTGATGTAGAAAATCCCTCTCTTCTGCTACTTGGTCAAATCAGTCCATTTTCCCATAGTTTTGGTCTCACAGCATTAAACCATTTGTGAAATGGAGATATCAGTTACGTGAGGTGGAAAGCTTGCATAAATTTTACTGACACTGCATTGCAACTGGCTACATTTCTAGGAAGTACTTACGCATTTCTGCAAACAGCTGCCTTCTTTCTGCCATGGTATTCCCTCTTTTCCCACAATCTTCAATCATTCTGGAAGACAAAATCATGTGAAAAGACTGAGTATTATTCCCAGACTGAACATACATACGTAAGCATCCATAATTGATCCCAGAGAACCTTGGCGGTTGACTGGTGCTCCACATGTACCCAGTGCCTTTTGCCAGCCTCTCTGTGGCGTGGTTTGCGGAGAAGGTAGTCCCCAAATTGTCTTCCATTCCCTAGACTCTGATTTCAAGCATTTGTTTTTCCTCTCTCTCTCTCCCCCTCTCTCTCCCAAAGGCAATGTTCAGTTTTTCTGCTTGATGTAACTGACTTACATAACACAAGCTCTGAAATTCATTTTAGGTTTTCTTAAATAAGGAATCTTCAGTTTAAATTATGTAAGAGATAAGAAATCATAAAAGATTTGGATATTATTTCATAGTTTAGAAAATGCCTTTCTAGCCAATTCTGGGTGGAGGGGACAAAAAAATAACACAACAACAACTAAATCTCTACTCCACAACATAGTACCCTTTATTTACTCAAGCAAATACACTCCAAATATTAATTCAAATTCAAGACAGTACGTCTCTGATTAAATGAGTTCCAGTAAAAGGCTCTGAAGAAAGCATATATTTTCCTTCACTTTTCAGATATAAAAATCTTCAGAATATTTAGAAGAGCACTACTGCTGTATAGAGAATAGAGAAAAGAGATAGCTTCCTTCCCAGCCAGCATTCAAACCATAAAAGACTAAAACCTTCAGAGGAAAGATAAACATCTTTAGCAGCACTCAAAAAATGAAACCAGTGTCGGCATCACCGCTTCCTATGGGTAATTACTCCAGCAAACCAGTATCTTTTCCTCCCTGCCAAGTCTGGTTAGGGCTTTTGACCTGCAGTGTAATCTACATCCTTATCTCAACTAAACTGTTTAAAATAACATTAGACCACTTGCAATCCAAAATATCCCACTGTATCCTATAGCAAACCCACATATGTATATAACAGGAAGGATAAAAGTATTGGATGCTGAAGTGTATCATCACCAAAAGACTCAAGATAGAAAACCAGTTTCCTTTTATTTCTCAGAGAAAGAAAGGCAATCACGTAAGAGATGTTTTGTTGTGTGTGTTGTTTTTTTTTTTCCCCCTTCAGAAATGCACTGTTCAAATGAAGTGCTGGTACATTACAACTGCCTTTTCCAAATAGTATATTAAATTCTCAGAGTACTGATAAAGATTCCACTAAAGTGCTATCTATGGTGGACATTGTGTGATGTGAGCAGCAGTCCCACCAGGAAGTGGACAACAGATTTGGCTGCAGCCTGTTTGCAGGGATATTCAAGTTCACCCTTATGCTCTAATTTGGCCAGGAGTGATTCAGACATGCGTAGCACGACATTAAATCTGGGCTGATATCCTGCCTTTCTGCAGAGATAACAGCTTTCAGTACAGTACTTTACAGAAGTGGCCACACTGCTTCTGATCTGGAGGCAGTTGGTGTCTCGCTAGTTTAGAGGTGTCAGGGAAGACTCACACCTACCTGCAAAATTAGATATACCTCAAGATACACTGGACCCAACCTGCATCCGAATTAGACAGTAAGTAGTAATATCTTTTGCACCTGGATCAGCCTTAAATCTCTGCCCATCAAAGTTGAAAAACCTTGTAATCCCACTAACTCCAGCTCGAGTTCCTCACTCCTTTCCGTTTCTAATTGAACTCACAGTAGGAGACAAATTTCCCATGTCAAATGACCAGATCCTGTAGGACTGGTCTCACTGTGATTGCTGCAAACTTTATTGAAAACAAAAGGGGTATAACTTTATTCTACCTTCCCGCATACTGTCTCTTGGATAAAAATATTCCTTACATATTGCTTTCAAATATCTACAGTCCACCTGCTGGAATGTGGCTCATCTGTGACCTTATCTGCCACGCAGAAGAATTTTCACAGTCAAAGTAAGTAAAAAAAGGTATTTTTCAAATAATGCAAATTGCATAGAAAGTTCTCCACTTACTTCAGAAAGTCCATTCCTAAAGTGTCCTTTTAGTGGGGTAAACATCATTAACCTTTTATGCAATTCATTCTCCCCTTACTTTTGTTGATGTTTATATCTCCTTATATAAAATGTTCCTTGGACCTGATCACAATTTTTCAGAATGTCCCATTATGTACTGAACCTGAATCACCCTTTTCACTGCTGGGGCTTATGGGAATTACCAGGCCTGACAAATAACTATATTTATATACACACAACTCAGGCTTCCTTGGAGAGGTTAGAAACTTTGTATTTATATTTTTAAGACTCTCACTGCACTAGATATTTTGCAATTTAAAAATAGCCTTCGTCCCAAATGACAATCCTAAAATCCTCTGCTATGGGATATACGCCATTAACCTCATGAGAGCATTAGTGGTGGCAGTATTTTCAGATAGATATCTTTTATCCCTCCTTTGCATCTTTTCCTGGCAGAAGAAGAATTATAGGTGATGCTCATCAATACTGTTATTTTTGAGTCACTATTGATAGGAATTCACTCAACTGTCTCTTCCAAGCTTTTTGTGTGTGTTTTTAACTCTTGAATGTGCTACAGCCCAGGCTCAGCTACTGCCACTGGTCATGGGTGTTGGGCATCTCCCTTTTCAGCCTTGTTCACCTTGATCCAGCTCACAGGTACACAGCTCAGGTCTTTAACTCAGATTAGAGAGACTCGTGCTTTGAGCCTGGGATGTGCTCAGAACAGTCCCTGGGGCTGGCCATGAGCATAACTGACTACAGTCAGGTTCCAGTATTTTTCATTTTGCTTAAAACACATGTCAAGTCACAGGAAAAAAGTACAATTTGTTCTGCAGGGGAAAAGAGTAAATCACAAAGTGAACTTTAATGTAATTTACAAAGCAGAATAAATTATCAGAGACATAATTTTGAAAAATATTAATTAATGTACACTCTTCCCATAGTAGGGATTAGATTATATTTGTCTTTTATGGATCCCTTCCACTATCTTTTTCCCTTCACTTCTCTCCCCAGGAAATAGCTCCTCTGCTGCAGGTAGAGAGAACACCTACTGTGAATCTAATTAAAATTCTTGTCACGGGCTAATTAGTAAGGTACCAATTAGCAAGGTATTAAGGCTGCAATATATTACAGGCATTCCAGAGCAGAAATCATTGCGAGCATAAGGTTTGCAGCCTCTGAAAAAGATACCGTGAATGTTTAATTTCTACCAGTGTTTCAGCCTGAAAACTTTCATGATGTTAGTAGTACTTGAAGGAAAGCAATAAATAAAGAATTTAGTTTGACTGGAACTCTCTTGATTACCATTTAACCTGCATGCTTATCATGCATCAGAAGAATAGTTGGTCTATTTTTTAAATATACTTTATTTGTTTATAAAATCTGGGAGGGAATATCACGTACATAGGGTAAGAACTAAATGCCTTATTTTTCTTTCCTTTGCTGTTGTGCTGCTTTGATTTATGAATACTATAATAATCTCTCTCACACATAAGTGTTTTTCTTATTTTAGTATTTATAGGGTAAATAGCATATTTTATTAACCCTCATTTTATGTCATCCTTCTTGTAATTAGTCTATTTCCATTTCTTGTGCTATCCCTATGCGTGACAACAGCAATGCGTGCCACAATTAAATCATTAGCTCCGAAGAACCATTGAAAGAAGTAATTGCTTGTATACTTGGAGAAGGAGCTTTCCCCCTGGAGAGTTCCATACACTTCCCAGGAGACTGTCAAAAATTCCCGCCCTGACACACAGGTGCACACACAGTTTGATGGCTCTGAGAAAAGCCACACCATTAACACTCCCACAAATCCCCATCCCGTTCATCCGTGACGGATGAAGTGCCCCGGGGAGGCGGGAACCACACCAGTGAGGAAAATTGTCTGCTGAAATTGATTAATTGTGGCATGAAAAATTTATCAAGTCCCATGTGATGGCTGCGATGCAGCTGTGCGTTTGACAAAAGAGGCTCCAAGTCCTGACCGGTGACATTCCTGATGGTCTTTCAGGCTGGCTAAAACTTGGTTTTTCCATCAAAGCAGGCACAGAGGAAAGAGGAACACTTGCCTCTGCCCAAGTCTTGTCCAGTCACACTCACTGCAGCTCTGAAGCCCTTGGGAGCATTCTGGGATGCAGCTTCTAGCTGGAAGTTTTGCTCCAGAAGACTGGTAAAACCAACAGCAAATATCTCAGGATCACTTTTGGAAAGAGTACCATCGTTTGGTAGAAAATATCAACAAGGCTCAAGCATCCTTTATCCTGAGCAGTCTGTATTTCCCTAGTGAGGAAATCTTCAACTCCTGATATAAACAGCTATTTTTTTTTTTTTCTTCCATGAAATGTCAAGTGTTAGATATTCACTTTGGTACCTCTGCGAATTGAAAGCATTAGGATGCAGAGAAATGTGCTGGTTGCCCAGTGGCTATTTTTCATGCTGTTGACAAGTCGGATGCAATTTTCTATGCAGCTGGTCAATATTTAAACCCAGCTTTGAGCAGACAACACTAACATTTCTGAGCTGCACAGGCTTCCTGTTTGCCATTGCTCGGGACAGTTTTATCAAAATGCCCTCCATACGTAATAAACTGCTATTCCTTTTCAGGATTTACCAGCATCAGAAATTTTGATTTATAAATCAAATGAAAGAGTCTGCTAGGGTCTTGCTTACAGTGACTTCATGAGAAAGTCAAAAGCTGTTGTCAAAAGCTAGGTTTGGAGTGCTGTTTATGCAGGATTCATAGCAACACGAGAGAGATTTTCAATAGATTTTTCCTTTTCTCCCATTTTCTCCAAATTCAGCCCGGGTAGGTAGATGCTACTCAGCTAAACTAGAGCAGAGTTATGGCTGCTTATTTCAAAGCAGTTTTGGACTGGAGAATGGCGAGTTAGAAGGGACAATGAGTGCTAGCTAAAACCATATTTGCAAAGTCACCAACCTCAGCAATCCTTGAAGTTAATAATGAGAATCATGAAAGGCCATTTCAGAGCCTTCTTTCCCTTAATGGATTTATTGGTGCCTTA